GTGCCTAAATGTGTGTTTAAATATGCCAAACTGCCCTGGTCACCAAGTTTAATTGACTCGCATGGGAAAAATTATTATCTAGGCTTGAGTGAATATGGTACCAGGTCATTAAGGAGTGAATTTTTGCCAGTTAATGTCTGAGACAAAATGAAGAAGCAGGGACCTTTTTTCATGTTCTGAGTTTGGACAATCTTTCTAAAATGATAGCAGCAAAAACGGTTTTTGAGAAAAGTGTGATAATTTCATCGGTTATGCCCTCTTTGACCATTCGTTATCAGCATCAGCTGCTCATGCGGTCGCTTTTATGTTGACGAGACGCCTCGCTATGAGATGGCTGAAGGCAAAAGTGCCTGTAGAGACTGATGAATGAAAAAGATCAGATATTCTAGAGCACCTGGCAACGGGACATGAGAAGGAATGGCCCAAACTTGTAATTTTGCTGATTATGGTATACCTTCAGATAAACGCAAAGTCAGAAGAGGTCACAAAACTCAACAGATTAAGCACTAACTTGAATGCCAAAAATACCCGAAACAAGTTAATAATAACTCATATTCAATTGATAGACATAAGGTTTTTTGCTAGTGGTTCCAATCACAATCACACTTACTACAGCATCCACTCTCTCTCTCTCTCTCTCATACACACACACACACATATACATTTGCGCACACACGCAAACAGAAACCTTGTCGACTTAACTAGACGTGTTTCCGATATTCTATAATCGGAGTGTGAATATAATAAGTGGGGGGGGTGCTAAGTTTGGGTTCTAATTACCTTGGCCCATCAATGCTCGCCCCGTACCACATTTGCCTACACATGAAGGTAGAACGCACATACACACATACGTGCCCCTAGATTTTCATATGGCTTGAATCAAATAAATCACTTTATCCCTCAACAAAATGCATATATTAACGTATATATATATATATAAATAAATCTGTGAGTTTTCTTGATTCGTCAACTTGAATGCGATTGAAAGAATTATGCTTTTCACTCTCAATGATTGTAATGGGACTGACGAAAGATTAGCACCTTTTCACCAGAAACGAAGAAGATTATCGCGCTTAAAAGGTCAACGAGAGAAAATTTTCGTCGTATTCTGGTTGTGTCAACCTTCGAATAATGTCTTCAACACACCATTCGTACCAAAAGGGGTTTGAGTCCATGTTGGCCGGTTAAAAGTAAGCATGTGACGACAGGCATAGAGGCCTGCTGATGTGGTAGATACACAAAACCGTAATGCTCGTCGGTGGGCTTTTGTGTGGGCAAAAGTTGTGCGCGATCGGATG